ATAAATGATATAAATAGTTGCATGTGGGTGTGGGTGACATTTAAACTTTCCATTTATTTTAAAATAAAAGTGAATAGAGAAAAACACTAGTTTTGCTTTTCTGGAAAACCCAGTCTTAGACAAGGTATTTTACAATGAGTTCAACTACAAAAATATCGAATGAGAAATATTTGGGCTCAGCGGTGATTTGGGGAGAAAAGTTCTGGGGACTTGTGAGCTTCAAAACTATATGCAGTACAAATGCAGTGTTAGATTATGCTTATAAAGGAATGATATCCAAAATAATAGCCTCAATAATTCCTCCTGTGTTGTCTAATCGACACTGAATTATCTGAGCAGTCTTTTCCAGGAAATGCATTGACAAATGGAACACATCCAGATAGCTGGGAAGTTGATTTGTAAATTTCTTCTGAGGCTTTAAGCCTTTAATTTGCCTTGTGTAGTGTACTGTAAGGAATGTAATCAATCTAACATAGGTCCTATTCTCATTTCAACCAAAGTATATAGAAACTAAATACATGGATAAAATTCATTTTCCCCAATCTGGTGAGTTTAAGTGATTAGTTTTAACTATAATAAATCTACTTTCATTGAAACTGCACTTTGGTTTCTGAATGTTAAGTTAAATTTTATATTTACATTACTCATTTATTCAGCTGTTAGATTTCAGCATTGTCCTATGTGAGCTGTTAGTATTTTTTAAACTTTTATTATAGGAATTAAGAAAGGACATTTAAACTTTAAGTTTATTTAAAAATAAAAGTGAATAGGGTGGGGGGGGGGAAGTTTCCCAAATTGAAGATTTGTCTTCTATGCCTAAAAAATATTCCCCATTAGATTTAGATTAAATTAAATTAAAGGAAGAGAATTTAAAAATGACATCTTTTTTAAAAATCATTTTATTAGGGGTTCATACAACTCTTATCACAATCCATATATACATCAATGTGTAAAGTGCATTTGTACATTCATTGCCCTCATCATTCTCAAAACATTTCCTTTCCACTTAAGACCCCGGCATTAGGTCCTCATTTTTGCCCCTCCCTCCCCGCTCCTCCCTCCCTCATGAGCCCTTGATAATTTATAAATTGTTATTTTGTCATATCTTGCCCTGTCCGACGTCTCCCTTCACCCACTTTT